ACTCCCTAGAAGAAGTATCTTAGTATCCTAGGGTCTCTGTCCCTTTTGACAGGGTAGTATTTATCTGTTCCTTCTGACTGGGTGGTGTCTATCCCCACCTCCTCTCTTATCATTTGCTCTTGGCAATATTTTTGGTGCTGCACCAGGTGCAAAATTTTAGTTTCAGTTGTGCTGTTTGTTCAGTCATTTCTCAGCTGTGTCTCACTCTGTGACCCCATTTGGGGTTTTCTTGGCAAAGATACTGGAGTGATTTGCCATTTCCTTCTCCAGCTCATTTTACAGATGTGGAAACTAAGGCAAACAAGGTTAAATGACTCGCCCAGGGTCATGCAGCTATTAAGTGTCTGCTAGCACTCTATCTACTGTACCACCTAGTTGTATCTCATTAATTATGGCATTGTTCAACGGTGAAAATTGAGGATTGTTCTCATTATCATGACACCATATGCACTTTTAAATGCTGCATGGAACACTGAAGTATTTCTGACTTGCAGTATCAAAATTGAATGCCCAATAAGTGGTACTCAGGCCACATAAATAACCAGCTCCTAGAGAAAGAAAACACTTGAGAAGAGTATTTTGACAATATCTTATCATCTGTGTGTTCTTGTAAGCCACTTCCCTTTTTTGGGGCCTCAGTTTCTTCTTCCATAAAATAAATGAATTGTAGTACATGGTCATTAAGGTTCCTTCCAGTTCCAGCATCCTATGATTTTATGATTGTATGCCTAATAATTACCCTCTTGCTCTGGCCATCCATCTTGTAAATGTGTGTCTCAGGTTGCAAAAAGGATAAAGTGACATCAATTCAGCCCTTCTCTCTACACTTAGAACTCAAAGCTAATGCCTTGTGAAGGCTAGGTCAGTCTAGACATTTTTACATTTAAAGGATAGTACCCACCAAATTAAGCAGGGAACCCCATTTGTATTTGATGTTGCAAATACAACATCATCTACCTGAATGCTGAGTAGGTGACTCCTCCAAGCTGCTATCAACAGCATGGATATTACTGGGAACTGGTTTGATGAGAATGGCTCAGAGATCAAGAAGCTACTTGTACTAAAGCATGAAGAGCATCGTCAACATCTCCATAGCATGGACCAGAGGGACTCCCATATAAGTGCTAGGACATGCAGGTCAAGTTGAGATGCATTTGTGGGATGCCAAGAATGGAAAAATCAGATCCAGAGCTATGCAAATTGCCACTTAACTAAAAAGTCCTTCATAATCCTTCATAAAGATTGCGTATAACTCTCTTCATATTTACATGACATTGCAAAGGAGGGAAAACTGGTTCTACCCTCTTCACAGACATGGAAAGAACCATACAGAGGTGGTGGAAACCTGGGCTGGACTCCCTAGATGGGCTGCTGTGCTTCTATCCAGTACCTAGGGTGGGCAACATGCACCTCTGGTAGTTTTCTGGAGCAGAAAAGATCTGTATCATTGGAAAGTCTGGCTAGGGAGCAGCCATTATGGAAACATGGAAGTCATCCCAACCTCGTATTCAAACTGTTCAAACTGTAGTACTCTCAGCTAAGGGAGACACAGTTGGACTAGAGAGCACATATATACTATTGCAAGATTTTGCTTTTTTGCTCTTGCCTTCGTTCTACAAAGTAAATGGAGTTCATTAATTTATTTGTTTTGAAACTATGTAAAGCTAATAGTGTACTGAACCAAATTGATTTGGAAAGGGTAGGGGAAAAAACAGTCAACAGGTGTAAAACAGTATTTTGTCAACTGTTATTAAGAAAACCAGGAAACGGAGAAATGAATCTAAAGAAATTTATTAATTCCTTCCTTCAACTGGAATTTATTGATCCTTATCATGGGCTAAACAGAGGCAGCTGGTTGCTCTGTGGATACAGCACTTGGCCTGGAGTCAGGAAGACCTGAGTTCAAATCCAGTCTCAGACATTTCCTAGCGGTGTGACCCCGGGCAAGTCACTTAATCGCTGATTGCCTGACAAAAGGATCCACTGGATCCACTGAAGAAGGAAATGGCAAACTACTCCAATATCTTTGTCAAGAAAATCCCATGGACAGTTGGTCCACAGGGTCACAAAGAGTTAGACACAACTGAATAACAACAACAATATGCCAAACACTGGAGATGAGAGGATACAAAAAGTCCAACACAGAGCCTGAAATTTTAGAACTAAAAGGAACTAAGAGAACCCTTTACTTTTTAGATGGAGACACTGAAGCCCAGAGAAATGAAGTGACTTGCTCAAAATCATGCAGTGACTTAGTGGCAGAGACAAAGCTGGATTCCCCTCGTCCCCTGACTCACACCACTGTACTCTTTCCATTGTATCATGCTGCCCCCTTAACTCTGATTCCCTGGTCTCCACAAGCTTAGAGTCCAGTTGATGAGACAACGTATACACACATGAAACAGAAAGGTCAGTAAGTGTTCAAATGAGTGGTCCCTACAGTAAATGCTGTAGAAATTCAGAGAAAGACCAGATGGCCTAGAATAGATCAGAATAGCCTAGATTTGCAAAGCTTCACAAAGGAAGTGGGACTTAAGGGGTACCCTGAAGAAGGCATGAGCAAAGACGTGGAGGTGAGGATCAAGCTTTGTAAGTTATGGGAGCAAAGAGAACACCCAGCAGAATCTAGAACCCAAGCTTGTGTTGTGGAATAGTAAAAGACTAGAAAGGTACGGTGGGTTTAGAGATGAATGGTATTCCATAGTGCAGAATTGGTCTTGCGGGAAAAGGTTAGAAAAAGCCCCAAACTGAGAACCAAGGTACCTTTAGTTAAATTCAGTACTGCCATTTACTGTGCGACTTGGGCAGGTCACTTTCTGAATCTAAACTTTCTTATCTATAGGAATGATGCAGTTGGATTAAATCATCTGTATGATCTCATTCACCTTTGACATCTTACAGTTTTAGGAAGAAGGTGGAGGAAGGATAGAGGTAGACGGTTCCAGTCTTGAAGAATGTGGTGGACAGTTGTGGTTTATAGGACTTCATGGTTCTTTTGGGAGTAGGAACAGCTTTAAAAAACAAACCACTGTTGTCATTTCGCAATTACTCCTCCCCTTCTTTTCCCATCTCCCTTGTAACAAAGAAATATAAACACTAAGCTTCTTAAGGATAGAACCTGGGAAAGACTTGAACAGTTCTTGGAATACTGCCAACAAATTCAGGGGGATAATATGATACCTGGAAACACTGTAAGCTCTTAATATACTTGGTGCCTTGACTGACTGGCTGTTGTTACATAGGTGTGCCCTTTCCTCTTGTGAAAACTTAAATACATGCAAAAGATAAATTTCGAAGTGGCCAAAGTCTTCACTTTACAAAAGGATTCACTAGGTGTTTCTTTGAAATTGCAAGCTTCTCTAGTATATTTAAAATCGGATCAGATTTACGGGGGACTTTGTCAGGGGCACATCGATTGTGACCTCAGGCTTTTAGTTAAAGATGGGATGAGATTTCAGTTTCCCCTTGCTTCTGCAGAGTCACAGTTGGCTCTGCCCCAGGAGCAAAGGGACTCTGCTAACTGGCACACTAGACTGTCCTGCAGCCTCTTCCACAGGGGCTATTGTTTTCGGGAGTGCAAGACTCAGCGGGATCCCTTCCTGGCGTACTCCGGTGGGGGCACCCACCATCTCAACGCGTACCCCTCCCGGACAACCCAGGGGCTTGAGGTACGCACGCCCGCGCCTTCCCGCGGGCACGGGCGGAGCGCGCGCCCGCTCGAGCCAGGACTCCAGCCTGCCGCGCTCCCTAATAACGACGCCCCGGCTTCTTCCTCTCCTTCCCCGCCTCGGATCTCAGTCCTCCCGGGACTCCTAGTCACGCGCGGGGCCCGCAAGCTCGCTTCGTGCTCGTAGACGAAGATCCCGGGAGGGGTCCCAGAGCGGGGGCGCGCGCGCGCCCGCAGGAGGGAGAGAGTGAGAGCCGGAGAACGCGCGCCGGCCGCGCCTGCGGGGGAGAGCGAGCGGCCCGACCCGCGGCCTGGGAAGTGGCGTGACCGTGCTGCGCGTGCGCGCTGCGAAGGGGCGAGGGGCGGCGCGCGGGCGCGAGTCTGTCAGTGACAGCGGGAGGGGGGGAGAAGATGGTGGCGGCTGCCGCTCCTCGGACATGAAGCAGCAGCCGCAGCGGCAGCAGCGGCGGCAGCAGCGGCACCAACCCCAGCGGCAGAAGCAGCGAAGGCGGCCGCGGCTGCAGCGGCATCTCCGGCTCCGGCTCGGGCTCCCAGCGGCAGCCCCCGGGGAGTGAAGGACTCGGGGGCCAGGCAGCTGGTTGCTGGAGGCTCCCTCCGTTGGGGCCGCGGGGAAGACGCCCTAGGGGAGCCCGGGGCTCTGCCGCAGCGGCTGCGCCCGCGGAGCCGCCCTCCCCGGGGCTGAGGGGGAGGCAGAGCCCCCCCCCGGCTGGGCGGCCCTGAGATCCCCCGCCAGGCCGGGCTTCTCCCCGTCTCCCCCGCCGGGCACGCTGGTCCCTCGCGTCGCCAGGGGCAGCGCCTGGAGGCGGGCGGCGAAGCCCGGACTCAGCCTCGCCGCCGCGGAAGCCGTGGGAGGAGACGCCGCTCCGAAGAAGCGTACCTCCCGTCCCCGCATCCTCGGACTCGGTCGCAGCCGGGCGTGGGTTTCCCCCTCCCCCCTCGTGCCTCCCCCCCAGATCCTTAGCGCCCGGAGCCGGGACGCGGAGGTCAGGAAAGCGCGGGGCGCCGCAGCCGCCGGGAACCAGGCCCCGCTAGACGGGGTAAAGACTGGGGGGCAGCCGCCTGCCCCGACGTGGAAGGGGGAGCCCCGGCTCGGGCAGGAGCCAGCAGCCGGCATCGGTCCGGGAAGGGGGGGGGCGTGCTCTTCCCTGCGGGGCCCCCGCCACCCCCGCCGCGGGTTGGGGCGCCGGGTCTCTGCTGCAAACTCTTGGGTCTTCCTGATTGCGGGAGAGGGACAACCGCTCTCCCTTTGCCAACCCCCAGCCCTTCCTTCGCCCGACTCGACTCTGCAGGGACCGAGCAGAGAGTAGGCGGTGAAACGAAGCTCCCCAACCGCAAGAAATAAGGAGGGAGCCGAGCAACCTTTTGGGGCTGGACTGGTTCTTCTTCAAGTCATCGTTTGGAGCGGAGGATGGTCCTACAGCGATGGGAAGCAGCGTTGTCATTGTCACAACGGCGCCTTTAATGTAGAGGGAAGAAAGATCAAGGCTTCTGTGTGGGGGTGTTTTTTTAAATTATTATTTTTTTTTTGCTGAATTACTTTTTTCTTTCTTTCTTTTTTTCCCCGGGAGGATGAAGTACTCCAAGAAGAGAGAGTTGTTTTCGGAAAGGAGATTGTTATGCTGAGAGTGATCAAGATTTGGACTTCCCTAAAGATTTGCAGTTTGTTGGGAAAGGACAGTGTGGGAGGAGGGAAAGCAGCAACATGGTGCAATCAACTGCCAGAAGGGTCAAAGTCAGTGGAGAGGAATCTGGGAAACAACAAGTTGGTAATACGTATTCCAACATCTTTCATGAATTCGTGGGTCTTCTTAGGTCTTTACATTTTTTCTTTCTTGCTTGAACCTGAACAATTGAAGCACTGATTAGACAGTAGCCAGCAAATTCGGTGAACGTATAGTGAGAACTCACCAAGACATTGAAAGCACCCAAGGGTGAATGATCAGTGCTTAAAAAGTTTAACAGATCTTTTGGCGTTCACCCTTATATATGTATATGTAGTTGCACTGATATAATCAAGATTATTTTAATAACTACCAGTGACCTTTAAGAGGTTTGTCAACATGGCTTCCCCTCCACACCAGCAGCTGCTGCATCACCACAGCACGGAGGTAAGCTGTGACTCCAGTGGAGACAGCAACAGTGTCCGGGTAAAAATCAACCCCAAGCAGCATTTGGGTTGCTCCTCCAACCCTCACCCCAAACACTGCAAGTATAGCATCTCGTCCAGTTGTAGCAGCTCAGGTGAATCAGGAGGGGTCCCTAGGAGAACCGGAGGTGGAAGCCGAGGCCTCCGAAGGAAAAAGAAACTGCCACAGCTTTTTGAGAGAGCTTCTAGTAGATGGTGGAACCCTAAATTTGACTCTACTAACCTAGAGGAGGCTTGTATGGAAAGGTGCTTTCCACAGACCCAGCGCAGGTTCCGCTATGCTCTCTTCTACATTGGTGTGGCCTGTCTTCTTTGGGGCATCTATTTTGGCATCCACATGCAATCTAAATTGATTGTCTTTGTGGTACCAACTCTGTGCTTCCTTTTGGTGTGTGTGTGTTTTTTTCTATTTACCTTCACAAAGCATTATGCTCGGCATTATGTGTGGACCTCACTGATCCTCATTCTCCTGGTTTTTATTCTGACTCTAGCTTCACAGTTTCAGGTTTTGACACCTCTCTCAGGAAGTGATGACAGCTCCAATCATACTCCCTTTGCTATATCCACAGATACTTGCTTATCTCAAGTAGGCAGTTTTTCAATGTGCATTGAAGTGCTCTTGTTACTCTATGCTGTTATGCACTTACCTCTATATTTAAGCTTGTTTTTGGGAGTAGCCTATTCTATTCTTTTTGAGCTCTTTGGGTATCATTTCCGAGATGAATGCTGTTTCCCATCATCTGGAATGAGATCGATGCACTGGGAGCTGCTAAGCAAAGCTTTGCTCCACATATGTATTCATGCTATTGGGATTCACCTATTTATCATGTCTGAAGTTAGATCGAGGAGCACATTCCTTAAAGTGGGACAATCAATTATGCATGGGAAAGACTTGGAGGTAGAAAAAGCCCTGAAAGAGCGAATGATTCACTCTGTGATGCCAAGAATCATAGCTGATGACTTAATGAAGCAGGGGGATGATGAAAGTGAAAACTCAGTCAAACGACACTCCACCTCAAGCCCCAAGAATAGGAAGAAAAAGTCTTCCATACAGAAAACTCCCATAATATTTCGTCCTTTTAAGATGCAGCAAATTGAACAAGTAAGCATTTTGTTTGCAGATATTGTTGGTTTCACTAAAATGAGTGCCAACAAGTCTGCTCATGCCCTGGTGGGTCTCCTGAATGATTTGTTTGGTCGTTTTGACCGGTTATGTGAAGATACAAAATGTGAGAAAATAAGTACTCTGGGTGACTGCTATTATTGTGTAGCGGGGTGTCCAGAACCCAGAGCAGATCATGCCTACTGCTGCATCGAAATGGGCTTAGGCATGATTAAAGCCATCGAACAGTTCTGCCAGGAGAAGAAAGAAATGGTGAACATGCGAGTTGGGGTTCACACTGGGACGGTTTTATGTGGCATTCTGGGCATGAGGAGGTTTAAATTTGATGTGTGGTCAAATGATGTGAACTTAGCCAATCTTATGGAGCAGCTGGGTGTGGCTGGCAAGGTTCATATTTCGGAGGCAACAGCAAAATATTTAGATGATCGTTATGAAATGGAGGATGGGAAAGTTATCGAACGAGTTGGCCAGAGCGTTGTTGCTGACCAGTTGAAAGGTATGTGTATTTCTGTCTTTCCATTCTCTGTGGCTGATCAATTGTCCTAGTATAATTTGAGTTATCAGGACCTCAAAATCAATTTGACTTTTGCTCTTGTGATTTAGGTATCAATAAAAGTGCTGACACAGGTGAGACTTTCAGAAAGAAGTATGATTTCAAATATACAGTAGCTTTTATTTCCCCATAACTTTATAAACTTGTGTGGTAGGTTGGTTGGAAGATATTATTCAAGACAATTAAGAACTTTTGAAACTTACCATTTCACTTCATGTTTTAAAACATTTTGTTCCCCAACGGCAGAATTGCTTGTCAGTCATGCCAGATTGTCTTTTAGTTTCTTAAAAATTTTGGGAAGTCATAAGTCTCCTTTAGGCCTCAATTTCTTCATCTGCAAAATGGGGATGATACCACATACTTTACCTCCTACAGGGTGTAAAGATCAAATGATATGTGAAAACACTTTGAAAAGTATAATAAAAATTCATCCTATTATTATTATACTTATTTGTCTCAACTATAGATATGTAGATTCTAGATTTTTTGTTTGTTTTTTGGTGAGGCAATTGGGGTTAAGTGACTTGTCCAGAGTCACACAGATAATGAATGTTATGTGTCTGAGGCTGGATTTGAACACAGGTCCTCCTGACTCCAGGGCCAGTGCTCTGTCCACTGTGCCACCTAGTTGCCCTTAGCCTTTTTTTTTTTTAAGAATTTTGAGACTTCTAGACCAGCAAAATCACAAATCTTTTTAGTTGTAGTTAGCCTTAAGTAAAGATCTGTATAGCTTTAGAGTTGCTATTTTTCTTGATTTGCATCGTTTTACAGTATAGGGCATAGATTTGAACAGGTTAGGGAATGAAGAATATCATAAAAGTGGTACTAAGAATAAGCAATTTAATTTACCTGTCACATTTCTAAACTTGTTCTTTTTATGCAGCCTCTCTGTTTTTACTAAATTCTTAATTGGGAGGAAAATCCTATTTAGGAAATGTACATAGGTAGGGAAGTACATTGTTTAAAAAAATTACTTATAAAGCCTTCAGTTCATAAAATACCAGTGTTTTGTGGTGTTAAGACATTGTATAATGTGAATGTATTAAGGAAAGGAATGAATATATACCTTCTTCATTCAAACATTTATTAAATGTCTATCATGTGAAAATGTTGTACTAGGGGCTGGGGATCTGAAGCCAAAAAAGATACAGTCCCTTCCTCATGGGAGCTTACATTGTACTGATTTCACGTCACAGATTGTAGGTAGTAGGTATTTGTCACTTTCAAAATGCACTCTTGCCATTGGGTACTTTCTATTATTCATTGTATGAACTGTTGGGATTTGACTTCACTCATTTATCAGATGAAGCAGTTGCACTTCAGTGATCTCTAAGGTCTCTTTCAGCTCTGACTTCCATGATTGTGGTGGGACACATCCAAGTCCATTGACACTTCCATAATTCTACCATCTGGCAAAAATATATTTGCTTGATCCTTGATACTTCCCTGCCTCCAAGTTTGCTGTGGCAATTTTAAAAATTAAAGGACAGTAGATAAATAATTTTAAGAAATCTGAACTCCATGAAAATATGCTTGACTTAGGCAATATTAAGAACTTAATTGGCAAGATTTGAAACTGCACTTTGTAGCTCACTGACATGCTTTTTGCTAAGCTCAGAACCTTTATGCTTGATCGTTTGGTGCCCAGCTCTTCACTCTGCAGGGCACAAGCAAAGTGGGGTTGTGGAGCGTTATCTCTGCTTCTCATTTTTGCATGTGGTATTATGATTTTTACTCACTTGCTGTTTGACAGGTTCTAGGGAATGGAAAAAGGGTGCAGTGTATTAAATAAAGTATGTCAGGTCAGTGTACTATGTAAGTAACTATAAATTGTACTTAATTGGATCATTTACAATTGGATCATTTAAAAAACAAGAGTGATCACAGTATATCAACTGGAATCATTGAATAGTTGGAACTCATCTTTGGAGGGGTATTAAATCTTGTATGTTGAAATGGTAGTTTAATTTTTTAGAATGGAGCATTTAGAGCAGATAAAAACATTCCAGATCACGTATATTTGATGTTTGGTTTTTTTTTTACCCTAAACATCGTACACTCGGTTAAGTATTTTTTTCTTTTAAAATTTATTGATAGATTTTATTCTGATACAAGAAACTTTTCAACAAGCACCCCAAGAAGTCCTCTAGAAAGTACATTCCCTGAAAACAATTAAGCAAGTCCACATAGTAGAGTGATTATGATAGTGCATGCTACTTTCCTCTTTTGTAGTTTGTAGGTTATTAACAGAGACAAAGGAAAAGTTTTTAAAAAAAATAATTTGATACCACCACTGTCCATTGTCTTTGACCTTAGTTTTGTTCCAGCTAAGTATATTTTTCAAATGGATATTTTTTCATTTATCTATTCTCCAACAAACTGAAATAAGCCTGCTTTTCTATATCTTTAACCTATGCTCTTGTGGCCTCTCACAAATTCCTCTAACCCCCCAGGACAATTTATTTATTTTCTGACTTTTATTTGGTAGGATACCACAAACTTCCTTCTTCCTTTTAACATGATAACTGAACTATGAATTTGTAGCAAATTCTTTGACAGTACATTTTGAACATCGTAAAATAAAGATTTCATAAACTTAAATTTTTAAAGCAGGGATTATGTAAATATAGGAGACAACCAGGTGGCTCAGTGGATAGAGTGCTGGACCTGGAGTCTGAGACACTTACTGGCTGTGTGACCCTGGGCAAATTACTTAACCTCTGTTTGTCTTACTCTACTGAAAAGGAAATGGCAAACCACTCCAGTATCTTTGCCAAGAAAATCCCATGGACAGAATGGTCCACAGGGTCATGAAGAGTCAGATACAACCAAACAACTGAAGAACAATAATACATAAATATTCCCAGAATCACTTTAGCTTTCTGTATTTTATGGGGTGGTTAATTCATGTTACAAGATTGTATTGTGTCTAATGCAGAAAAAATTAGTTGTTAGGACTAGATATTCAGTACAGGCAACTAATGTAATTAATTAGTTCCCTGAAAACATAACAAGTGAAACAGTATTAAAAGAGGGTATTTTATTCTGGAGATACAATGTTAGAAATGTGTCACATTTTTGTTAGTTAAATGATACATGTTTCACTGGAGTTTGGTGACAGTGTGGTTTGGTCATCATGTGTTAATGGTATTATTGTGAAATAATGTTAAGTGGAATAGTGTTATGTGGGATATATAGAAATATATCTATATAGCTCTGTATCTGTCTATCTATCTATCTATCTATCTATCTATCTATCTATCTATCTATCTATCTATCTATGTCTTTCTCCTTTGTTACCCTATGCTCTACTTTGGTAATGGAGGGACATATCCTAGTCACCAGCAGACACTACAAAACCATTATATAGTTATTTAGAGTTTATAGAAAGTTTTCCATACAGGAACATTAAAAGGTAGTTAATGCAGGGAATGTTTTCCCCATTTGACAGATGAGGAAACTGAGGTATAGAAAAATGAAACCACTTGCACACAGTCATGGCTAATAAGTGGCAGACTTAGGACTCAGTGAAATCCAGGTTTCCTAGTTTAGTGTTCTTTCTACTGCCTCAAAAAACAACAACAAACAAACCCACAACTTGTAACTTGTAACAGTCTTATTAGGTAGGTTAGTACAGGTATTGTTTGTCATGCCCATTTACTAGAAGAAGGAATTGAAATATAGAAAGATAGACTCTGGTGGGAACTGCAGCTCAGGTCTTCCGGCTTCAGTGCTTTTTCCATTATCAAGCGCTGATGAAGTGATTTAAAGTGCAGTGCTGCAAGGATTTTGAATTTGATCCAAAGAGCAATGAGAAAACATTCTATAACTTTAATGTGGGGGGATGGGATGGTTGAAGTGACCGGAAAAAGAGAATATTTGAGCAGCTTTACTAAAGCTATATTGTAGGGGAGCTGAGAATTCTAGTGGGGGCAATTGTAATGGTTTAGCACATCCTTGGACCAAAAGACAAAGACAAAGAGCCATGATTCTAGACTGAAATGTAGTTGATGCAGCTCTGACAGAAAACACTTAATTTCCTGCTCCCAGATAATATGGAAACAAAACTAAGGCTCTCAGTTGCTTTAAACTCACAGAGAAGACTTAGTCTTTTTAGAAAATCTCTTCTAGTTCAGAATTTAACTTTTTCTGCATCATGGACTCCTTTGACAGTCTGGTGAAGTCTGTGGACCTCTTTTTCAGAATCATGTTTTTAAGTGCATTAAAAAATAGATAGAGTCACAAAAGAAACCAATTCTATTGAAATAAAGATGTACTTTTTTTCTGTCCAAGTTTATATACATCTCCCCCTGAAATCTATACATAGACCTTGGGAACTTTGTGTTAAGAACCCTTGCTCTCCTTGAAAAGTTATTGTCATACTGAAGATTAAAGAAAATTTTTAATTGGTTTCTGCTGAATTTTCCAAGGCTTCTTGCTATCAATGCCCTCTTAAAGTCACTCAAAAATAGCTAACAAATTCCTTTTAAAGGAAGACACTCTTTTCAATTCTCTGTCATTTTTATAGCTTTAAAAATAATTAGGTTAACCCAAGAAAAAGATAGAGGTTTAAATAAAGATGAGCAACTAGTTCTGAATCTAGGATATTATGATTTGCAATATTAAATCTCAGCTTCTTAGACATCAGAACCAGAGGTAATTATTTCTTTGGGAGTATCATGATCTGTAAGTAAGTGTTACAGTTTGTAAAGTGCTACCAACCATAGCAAACCCTCACCAAGGTGTAATAATTGATGAGGGAGAAGGCCAGATTGACTTAGTGAAGTTGAAACAGCAAAATATTTGTCAAGAGATATAGATGACTTTCAAAGACATTTAAAACAGATTTTGACAGCTAAGTTTTAGGTTTGCAGAGGAATGAGGGTAGAGGAATGTCTGCATATGTTTGAGTAGAAATCTCTGTTAGCTACTATAAGGACACT